AAACAGAAGTGAACTTGTCTGAATTACACCCATATCTTTACAACATGAAGAAAAGAGACCCACCCAGTGAGCCATCTCCACTGGAGGCTGAATTCCAGGTAATAATAGTGATGACAATAACAGTGATCACAGATAGCTTTTATTGAGTGCTATCTGTTTTCCAGGTGGCTGTGACATAGTTCTTGCGTTTGGTCCTCACCATAACCCAATGGAGCTCAGATGAGGAAATGAAGACACAGAGTTTAAGAGAAATGATCTTAGAAACCCAGATTCTTCACAACTTAAAACCGTAGGTGAAAAGAGTTTTAATTTCCTGAAAACTAAAACGTGGTAATCACCAGTCATAGGAGAAACATTTTGCATTAGTGCGTAAAAGTACTGTGGAAGTAGGATGACCATAAAATGTATTTTAAAAAAATAATGCAATACTATTTACAAAGAGCCTGGTTTTTGGAACTAAACTACCGAGGTTCAAATCCTGCCCCTAATTCTTAATACTGTACATCTTTGGACAAGTTTTTAATCTTTCTGTGCCTCAGTCATCTGTCAAATGGATATGATGTTGGTAATTACCTCACAGACTTATAACGAAAGGTAATACAAGTGGAGCAACGAAACAAGTCCCTGGCATATGCCACACATTTAGTAACTAAAAGTTATGGTTATGATTTAAAATGTATGTACTTGGCCCAGCAATATCACATGTGCATATATACCCGAGAGAAGCACTTGCGAATCTGTGCGAGAATATTCACCAAGATGAATGCAATCAGTATTTTTAGAACGGCATAAATTTGGAAATGCCCTAAGTGTATATCGATAGAGGGGTGGGCAAAGAGAATGTGGACACGTGGATTCACTGTACAATTAGTGCTGTGCTGCAGTTGAAGGGGGTATTCTAGGTCTGTGTCTCTGTGGGTAGATGCTCAGATGCAAACAATGAGAGAGAAAGACACCAAATTAAACATACAAGATATGATTTATGTCATTTTTTAGAAAATTTTTTTAGAAAAATGTATAATGTTTTTATGCTTATAGATACAAATATATTAGCATAGAAGTATGAAAACTAGAAAAAAAAAGAAACTGTTTTCTTTGGAAAAAATAAAATAGAGCAGAAGGGTACAGTCAGGGGACTGGAGGTAGTAGTTAAAGAGATTTATAAGAAATATGTTATTTTCTTAAAAATATTGCATTCAAATATGATAAAAAGTTGGGAGTTGCTAAGTCCGGGTTTGGCATATTGGATTTTTTTTTTTTTCTCCTTTTTGTCTTTTCTACTGACCGGCAACGGGATCGCAACCCTCGGTGTTGCGCCCGCACCGCGCTCAGCCAGCGAGTGGGAACCGGTCTCCACATGGGATCCGAACCCTCGGCGGGAGCGCTGCCGTGCTCCAAAGTGGCACACTCTCCAGTGCGCCACCGGGCCGGCCCGGCATATTGGATTTTTTTAAAAATGATTTTCTCTATTTAAAAAATTTCTAGAAAACTTAAAAAAAGTGTATTCTGTGGAATATTCACTGACCTTTTTTCTCTCAGATATACTGTGAAATTTATTACAGTTTTATGTGTTAGTAATTTCACTTACTAACTCAACAATAGTCACTGAAGGAAGTAACAATGTTTTTTTTTTTTTAATTTTAGGAATGAGACAAAAGCTATGCAGTATATAGGACATGAATAATCTATTTAACAAGCTATTTTTTTCTGGAGAAATAGTCTGAAATGGAATTTGCTCATATTCCAGAAAATGTGAAAACCAACTTCCAAAATATTTAAATGTTAGAAATATCAATTTTCTTTTGCCATATTGTCCCAGTATGAGCAAAAGTATGGAAGTGCATATTTTATTCAAATGTGACCTATAGAAATCTAAGTTACCTGTTAATCATTGGTATTTTTTCTTGGAATTGTAGGCACAATACATCTTGATCCATCAGGCCTTAGTGGAATACAATCAGTTTGGAGAAACAGAAGTGAACTTGTCTGAATTACACCCATATCTTTACAACATGAAGAAAAGAGACCCACCCAGTGAGCCATCTCCACTGGAGGCTGAATTCCAGGTAATAATAGTGATGACAATAACAGTGATCACAGATAGCTTTTATTGAGTGCTATCTGTTTTCCAGGTGGCTGTGACATAGTTCTTGTGTTTGGTCCTCACCATAACCCAATGGAGCTCAGATGAGGAAATGAAGACACAGAGTTTAAGAGAAATGCCTGAATCCACACAACTGTTATGTAGAAAACTTGTTTAAACTGAGAAATCTGATTCTAACACTAACACTTTTAACCATTCCTCATTAAGCTGGTTTAAAATAAAGTGTCAATACAATGGTATACAGCCACAAAATTGGTCTGCCAAAGGCAGTGTAACATCTCACCTTTAAAAACTGCATCTGGTTTTGGTTTGTAAAGGAAGTAATTAGAGGGTTTATGACTGCTTAGGAAGTTGAAGTGGCTGGAGCTGGTACACAAAAAGTAAAGGATAAGTATGTGCATCCTAACCTATTTATTAGGCAATTATTCTGACAGCTAACCTAGGAGAGAATTCACTATGATTTCAGAGAGTTGGCATAACTATCCTCAAATTGCTCAGTTGTCAAAAAATGTTTCATAACTTTTCCTTTCCACCTGTGACTTCCAGTTTACTGAGTCTTTCAGTAAACTAATAAACTTTTCAATTCAGAGAGTTTCACAAGACCAGGAATATGCTTTTAATCAGATGCAGAACCGTGTAACTTTTCCTTTCCACCTGTGACTTCCAGTTTACTGAGTCTTTCAGTAAACTAATACACTTTTCAATTCAGAGAGTTTCACAAGACCAGGAATATGCTTTTAATCAGATGCAGAACCGTTTAATGTTTAGGATCAAAGTGGCGCTGAGGTGTGGAGTGGAGGTGGGACATGTAATAATCACCAAGTGACTCAGTTCCCCAGAAGACTTGCACTTACAGTGGAAGAAGTAGCAGACGTTGTTGTTTTGCTGCTCCTTTACCTGATCAATTAACCACATTCAGTACACTAGCCCTACTAAAGCACAGGTATACCTACCCTGCTCGAAGACCCTTGCACATTTCATTTAAGCATGCGTGTGTAGTCACTAAAAGAAAAAGACAGTACTTGTTCACTGAACAAATACGATTGAGTTTCTGCTCTATGCCAAGTACAATTCTAGGCACAAGAGTCACAGTGATGACCAAGCAGACATGGGGCAAAGGCAAGAGAGAGTCTGACCCAGACCACGGTAGTGGCTATAACCCTGATGAAAGCGTGAAATTCTTTAACCTAAGCAGGCAGGAAGATGGAAACTGAGGGTAGAGATGCAAGTCGGTTCAGAGCTTCGAGGATGGGAAGTTGAAGCAATTGTTGCCTGATTTTTTTTTTCTCAAAAAAAAAAAAAAAATGAGGCAAGATCATCACCTGGGCCTTGAGGGGTAGAGCAGTGAGTAGGGCAAAGAGGAAGGGAAGAGGGTGTAAAATAGTTATCTCAAAGTAGAAAAGCAGGCTCCCTAGGCAGAAGTAGTAAAGAGTCCCCAAAATTGTTGTTTGACCATTTGAAATTTATAGCAATGAATTTAAAGAGGGATCAGCCAGTTGGTTGTACTGTTTTCTGCAGTAGTATTGAGCTCTCTGGGGATAGGGGGTGGGTACGGAGATAGTTGGGTTAAATCCGTCTAGATTTTAACAGGTGACTAAAGTCAGGAGGTAAAGGAGTTGAGGGTGTTCACGAATGATTGCTGAAGTGGACAGTAAAGAGCGAGTCGGCACATGAAGGATACAAGAGAAAGTAGTAAGGACGATGTGTTGGAGATGTTGATAGAATTGCAGATTGGCAGGTAGAAGGTACTAAAATAAATGACTAGGAGGAATAGAAATAGTTTTCCATAATAGGAAAGGCTGAAATTATGATTGTGGAGGTAATGCAATGTTTGGAATGAAATCTAAAAAGGTGTAAAGATAAAGGTGGATGGCTGAGGGGTGGAGGGAAAGGCATAGGAGGGGTGGAAGTTGAGAGATGAAGAGACCGGAGTGTTGAGTAGGGCATCCCTTCAATGTCACAGTAGCCAGGAATGGTAACAGACCTTGAGCAGAAGAGCACGCAGTTAGCCAGGTCTAACACTAAATGAGGGGGAGTGATCTAGAAAACAGTACCTGACGCCTTCGAGTGAAGGGCGGTAGACAAAAGGTGGTATAATACCACGGCAGGAAGGTCAAAGTCTTCGGGTTTTTTGAAGAAGAAACGAGTAGAAATGGTTTGCAAGTATAAACGGGGACCAAGGAAAACACGTGCATTTTCTTCAAGCTGTGGGGTAGACAGACTGTTAGGGGAAGTCAGCTTTTTCTCACGAGGCTACAGTGTTCTTGGAAGTGTCTTCAAGAGACATCCAGGTTTTACTAGGTGCAAAAAAAAAAAAAATGTGAAGGGGTGGTTGGAAGAAGATTAAGGTGGATTAAGATGGGGGAGCGGGAGTTTGCTGATGATAGACCGTTGGCATCACAGGGCAGAGAGAAAGGCATTGATGAGAGGTGAGAGATTGGGTTGCATTCCTATGGGTGGGTTCGAATCCTATATAGGGATGACCGGTGCGCTCACTGGCTGAGCGCGGTGCAGGCGGTCACAAAAAAAAAAAAAAAAAAAAAAAAAAAAAAATACGAGAAAGGAGATCTTTTAGAAGAAATTGGCATTTATACTGATACCTAAAGGGTAGGAGAAATTATAAGAGTGATAAAAAAGGCTAAGGGTGGTTAGAAAAAACACGTTTGTCTACCAAGAGTTAAAGGACAGCTTGGCCCCCTCCAAGAATTGAGGGAGTTGGTTTGGCCAAAGTACCTTGTATAGGGGATGAGATCTTTTAGAAGAAATTGGCATTTATACTGATACCTAAAGGGTAGGAGAAATTATAAGAGTGATAAAAAAGGCTAAGGGTGGTTAGAAAAAACACGTTTGTCTACCAAGAGTTAAAGGACAGCTTGGCCCCCTCCAAGAATTGAGGGAGTTGGTTTGGCCAAAGTACCTTGTATAGGGGATGAGGCTGAAGACTCAAAGGGGCATGTCCTTAAAGGCTTTTTATGCTATTTTGAGGAGGTTTGCTGCTTTTTAGTGATGATGGGAGCTGCCGAAGAACCTGAGAGGGACATTTTAGGTTTGTGTTTTAGAAAAATATTTAGTATTATAAATAGCCGAAACTTGTAAGCAAGACTGATGATAAAGAGGCCAATTAAGAAACTGTTGATGTTTTCCAAGTGAAAAATGAAGGTGGACCGGATTAAGTAGGAGGAGAGAAAAGTAAAAGGATTTGTAAGCTTTACCAGTAGAAATGATAGACTTTGCTGACCAATTAGCTACTGTGAATGAGAGGGACAGCAATCTGGAAGGTGTAAACAAATGAAGCATCAACTTTTGAAGTATTTGCCAAGTCTTCTGCGAATGTTGTATCTACGGAGTAAATTTCTGATAGTTTAAAATAATTTACCATTGCTTTTGCAATAGGGATACTAGTCGACATTCATATAGTGCTTTCAACTTACACAAGAACAAACTTTACCACTTTACCATCAAGCAGCTCTTAAGTATATTTTTAGTTCAAACTCAGCATGTCAAAAGTACTGGATGCCTGAGCAATAAAAAGAAAAAATGTGTAGGCAAAATTAAAAACTGTGACCTATAGGGGGCATATGTAAATTTCATAAAAATTAGTGAAATACTTTAAGGAGCATCTTAAGCCACAATAATAAATTATGCCAATATTTACATTGTAAAGGCATTTTCCATTCCGTTTATTTTTTCTCAGAGACTTCCTTCATATAGGGGTTGGAGGACACAGCACATCGGAAATCATGAAGAAAATAAAAACAAAAACAGGAATTCTAATATCATTCCATGTACGTAGCTTATTTTATTATTATTTTTTTGTATCAGATAAAGTTAAGCTCTCTTTTAGATTTGTTTAATGTGAGACATACACAAATGATCTTGAAGCAAGTTTTCAGCATTTGGTTGACAACAGTAAAAAAGTTAATGTCTTAAAGTTAGTTTTAGTCGTGGCAAACACTTTGAACGAACCCCAGACATTTTCAATGGACTCTGGTGGACAAATTGTATTCAGTATTTTTTTTCTCTTTTTCTCCTAGCAGTTATTTCAGAAATGGGTTGTAAATGAAACCTTCAGAGCTGGAAGAAAAAAGGCCAAGTCCCCTTTACCAGTTCTCTCTCCTCTTCAGTTTATTTGAGTTATTTACTCCAGGGTAATTGCCAAATAGAAAAAAATATCTACACTTTTTTTTTTTTTTAATTTATGTTTTCTCTTCATCCCTTATATCTAGGAGGTTTGGAAGTAGGTGGCAAGTTATCTATGATTTGTCAGTCATTAAATTTAACAGATCAAAATATGCACAGTTTCCAATACTTGAATTCTATTATGTAAGAATAATGATAGGGTCACATCTGGTACAACTATAATTTTATTCAGTTGCACACGCTAAAATTCACGTGGATAAAATATAAGCCAAGCTAATAAACCAGACAACCAAATAAATCAGATCAGTGCATGGTTGACCTAGTTAATTTCCGCAGAAGTCATTATGAATATAGTTTAAAATATGGAATTGATGGTAATGTAGTTAATCAGATCATTTGACCAGGCTATTATAAATTAAAGAAATTAAGAGACTGAGAAATTACAGACCAAATAATTTTCCTGACTAAATAATAAATAACCTGGGATATCTATTTAACTAAGATTGTTCATTTAACATTAATAGCATATAACTGAAAAATGGAAATCCAAACTATGTATTTTTTTAACCTTTATCAAACAATGATGATACTCTATGGAAAACTAAAGTATAGGTATCAAAGACTGGATAATCATATAGAATGTTTTGGCATCTGTTTGGTATTTAACACAGAAAGATTTATTGCATATACTCTAAGTTGAATTTACTTATTTTACAAAGTTTCCTAAAACACACATTCACAGAATATTAATCTAATTATAAGCTATCGTAGAATGTATACACACCAAATACGGTAGATGCATAATGAAGATAATTTGAAATATATATGCAATTTCTTTCTATCATCACCCTAACCTTTATAGAGAAAAAAAAGGTATTTTTTTGGAAGGGAAAACTTGCTCATTTTCTAAGATGCTATGTTGTAATCTTGATTTCACATTACTAGCTAAAAATTATCATTTTCTGAGCAAGTATTTTACATGTAGATATTATATTGCCTCTTGGACCTAAGAATCTTAATGTTTTTATTTAATGGCACTAAGTGATCCAAATAGTTATTTTAAGAATCCACTGCTTTCTCTTCAGTTAACAGTAGTAACAAAGTCCCACCCTTTTTTTTTTTTTTTTTTTTTTAAATTTTTTATTAAAGAGTTACTGGAAACCTGAAGTGATGATTGCTGCTCAGGGACCATTAAAAGAGACCATTGGGGACTTTTGGCAGATGATATTCCAAAGAAAAGTCAAAGTTATTGTGATGCTGACAGAGCTTAAGCATGGAGACCAGGTTTGTACGTCTGAGAGTCTGTTTTTAAAAAGCCCTTTTGTCATGAAGTATCATTCTCCATTCTCGGCTCACTTAGTCGATCGCTGGACTCACGTCTTTTCGATCTCTCTGTCACGCGATTCCATTGGTTCATCCCAGTGCTGGCCTCTATCGCCTGTGTCTGGATGCTGACAACGTCTCGTGTTTGGCTCCTTTCCAGTCCCGCACCCTGCTCAAGATTACCATCCAGTCCCAGTGTTACAACAAGCCACAGATACATTTCTCTCTATTTTCTTAAAGATAAAAACCAAACTCCTTATGTGATGCATAAGACTTTTAATAATCAGTCCCTCCTATATCTTCCCATTTTCCTCCCGTTTTTGTGTTTTATGTACTGTGCACTCTGGACAAGTAGGTTTATTGACTGAGTCTTAACTCACCAGCTGCATTCTCGTCACTGAGTCTTCATTTACTGACATTCCATATAATAAATGCCCCACCGCATCCTATTTTTGCCCTTTATTCTGGCAAGACAAAATTCCTGAAAAAAATTAACTAAATTCTTCATTCCTTATGCTCATGTAATATTTATTGCCTTAAAATTCTATAATTGGAGGTGAAACTAAGATATAATTTCATTTTCCACTTGAGGGCTATTTCTCTCTCTCTCTCTCAATCCACTCACCCTGAACATAAAAAGTTGTTTTTGTGTTTTATGTTTTTTATTTTTTTTTAAAGGAACACACGTTCAGATTTCCATCATGAAATTTCAGCAATCTTTTTAATCTAAATTGTGAAAGCCAAGAAATAGAAGGGACGTGCAGACAGGAACGCCTGTATCTGTCAGTAATTGCGGGGTTGTGGTTGGTGAGGAACAGTCTCAGAGAAAGGAAACAGTTTTTTGATTCACCTACTCCTGAGCCTGAGCCTTTACTTAAATATTCAGTCAACTTACATAGAGCTTCTCATGCTGTTGGTCATCAAGATACAGAGACAGATCTCTGAAAGATGCAGCCTCTTTCCTCAAGGACCAGTGGAGGGACGGTGGGACCTGAGTTATCTGTGGCCATAACCAGCATCAGCTCAATCAATAGATTTTGAAGAGCTGATGTTAAAGATATGGAAGGGAGGAACAAATCTCAAAGCCTGCATAGGGGAAGACAGAGCTGTTCCTGTGGTGTCCTGGCCAGCTCGATTATTCCCAGATTCCCTTTACTTGCACAAGGAAACACCATGTGTTTGTTAAATGGGTCTCTGACATACTTAAAATAGATTTTGGATTTTTGTGAACAGGTTTCAATTTTAGAACACAATTAATAATTTCCACTAATAGAAAAGAGGGAAGGAGAGAAAAAGAGATTGATTCTCTGAATACTTTAAATAGCAGATAGAATACTTTGTGTAGAAATTGTTGAATCATATTCTTTCTTATCTAGGAAATCTGTGCTCAGTACTGGGAAGAAGGAAAGAAAACATATGGAGATGTTGAAGTTGATATAAAAGACACAAACATATCTTCAACTTACACAGTTCGTGTATTTGAACTGAGACATTCCAAGGTAAATAAATAACTTCAGGAGTATATATCTTTGATGTCATTAATCTGGTAATGAAAGTAACAAAAATTACTCTATAAAAGCAAAGCCACCATTTATATAGTGGTTTAGAATAAAATCTTAAAATTATTTAAATAAAAGCAATTGTATAGAAAATGTGACTGTCAAATATTTCAATGGACTGAACTGCACTCTTTTTACTTGTGATTTTAGAGGAAAGATTCTCGAACTGTGTACCAGTATCAATATACTAACTGGAGTGTGGACCAGCTTCCTGTAGAGCCCAAAGAATTAATCTCTCTGATTCAGATCCTCAAACAAAAACTTCCCAAAAAGAATTTCACTGAAGGGAATAAGTATCACAAGGGTGTGCCTCTCCTGATTCACTGCAGGTGGGTGGGAATTAATGGGATATGCTCTAAAAATCATTATAATGTTCGACTTCTTGGTTTGCCATTTCTCTTAAATTTATCCTGATATATAAAATGTATGACCACAGTGAAAACCTCTTATAGAGTTAGTCACTCTCTCAGTTATATTCCCACAGCATAACTACTATAGAAATATAATAGAAATGATTATATTATAGAGCAATAATTTTAGGCTTTGAGTGCTTTAATACAAGGTGCCACATCATCTTTGACTTGTGGTACCTAAAATTGAACCTGGAATGGCTTATGTCCTGAATGAGCTAATGAGTGAATGAAAGGATGCATGAACAGATAGGTAGATGGATACTATATTAAGTATATGCTTATGAGCATTGATCCACTCTACTAGGCATTATAGAATCCAAAGAGCAATGCTTTGCCATCCATAGATGTATCTTAAGTTAAATGTTAACTGAAATTTCAATGCATAACAGCTTTAACCCATCATTCAATTTTCTAAAATGACCCAAAAGGCAAAGATTTTAATAATACTAATAGTGATACTTGATTTTATTCGTTTCTGTTATGCAGACCCTTAAATTGACAGAGAAATTTACCTCATATCTACCTTAAATAAGAGATATTGAAAGAAGGATGCATAATATAAAATATTTACTTGAACAAATATTAAAGTAAATGAAAGATGCAAATTTAGTAAGATGATTTTAGAATTTTTGGAAAAATCTCATTTTTTACTCTTCCTGGTATAGGATATATATACTAGAATCAAGCCCTTAGAGATATGCTACTTTTCAGCATTTATTTGAATTTTCAAAAGTGAAGTTTATGTGGGAAGACAGCTGGAAGAAGAGAAATTTAAGTGTTTATTAGAATATGGTTGAATACCTGCATTGTATTCCTTAGAAAGTACAATAAATAAAGTGTCCTGCTGATAACACGTTGTTTAAATTGAATCTTTATTATAATGATTTATACCTCTCATAGTCTAGTAAATCATTTGGTTGTCCTCTTTTTAATAAATAATTCCACTAGGTATCACTTTTCTAAGGATGCAGAAGTAGAAACATTTGTAAAAAGTGGTAGAAAGGACAAAGATTGAAGGAGAGGCAATAGGTGGAATAGTAATTTACAAAATATAAATTCTAATATTCCTGATTCCATTTCTAGCTATGCCTTTCTCTTCCCTAAACTTTGGTTTCCTCGTCTATCAAACTGTCGTTATGATACTGGTCCTAACAACTTCAGATGTAAATGAAATTATTAAAATTCAGAAAATACTAAATAGAAGAAAGTATATTTTTAAAGCCTAAGTAAGACAAATATTTTTTAAATTACAGGAGTATCATAATTCTAAATTGAAAATATTTGCCAAAAACTGCATTTAGCAGAAATAAATTTGGCTCTTAAGAGATCAAAATAAAATAATTACAATAAATATGAAATAAAAATATATTCTCTCTGTTTTTATACTAATATAAATTTTTCCATAAAAAGTGAAATTCTTTTTTGTTGTTATCTTTTCTTCCTTTTATAGAGATGGATCTCAGCAAACAGGAATATTTTGTGCTTTGTTAAATCTCTTGGAAAGTGCAGAAACAGAAGAGGTAGTAGATGTTTTTCAAGTAGTAAAATCTCTACGCAAAGCTAGGCCAGGAATGGTTTCCACATTTGTAAGTATTCCCCACTGTTGGCTTTTTAGCATGCTTTTCAGTTTTACTTTGACAGGTTTTTTGCTTTTCTTTCCTTTCCTCTCCTCTCCTGCCCTTTCTTTTCTTCTATTTTCTTTTGTATTGTTTCTCTCTTCTGTTTTTACATGATTTATTAATAGTATAAAAAGAAACCTAATTAGAGTTTATCAGCAATTTATGAATATTTCCTTAAATACTTATGAAATTCTAAATGTCTTCTTCTTTAATCCTGTGTCAGTTAGTGGTGTTGTATAGAAAACCACCCCAAAATTTAGTGGCTTAAACAAATGATGTTAATTGTAATTCAATAGTCTATTGATTTTCTGGATTGTTCTGCTGATATTGTCATGCTCAGCCAGTCCAGATCAAGCTCGCTCCTATGTCTGCCTTCAGCTGATGTGCCACTGGGGTCTGGCTCGTCTAAAATGACCTCCATTGCCTATAGTGTGGCAGCTGACTGGCATTTCGCTGTGGCAGCAGGGGTGAGTGTGCCACGTCTCTCCTCATCCAGAAGATAAGCCCAGCCTTATTCACATAAAAGTGGCAGAGTTCCAAGAAAGGGCACAAGTATGTGAGACCTCTTGAAGCCTAGGCTTGGAACTGATACAACGTCTTCCATATTATATTAGCCAAACAAGTCAGAAGTCCAGCACAGACTCAAGGGATAGGGAAATAGACTATTTGTCTTGCTGAAAAGGCCTGCAAACTCACGTTGCAAAGAAATGTGGATACAGGGAGGATTTTAAGTATCTCATTTTTGTGATTTGTGATCAATCTATTCGTGTACCTTCTCTATGTATTAGTAACTGTAGATGATCATCTGGGAACTATAATTATTCACAGTATGAACACAATACCTAAAACATATGAAGCTTTTAATCATCTATGATATTGACTTTAAAAATGTGTCAAGTGCCTACTATGTGTGCTTGGCATTAGGAGACTCACTGTTAGTGTTGGGAAAAGCCAGATATTTATTACACAGTGTATTGAGTAAAATGACAGAGAAATTATAAGAACATGAATGAGGGAATTTCATTTAACCTATGGGGATAAGGGTAGCCTTCTTGACCCAGATGATTCCAACTTTGATTCTTAACTGATATGTAGGTATTAGCCAAGAGGTTAAGCACAAAAATAGCATCATGGGCAATGGCATGGGGCTGTGACACCACGTGGCATGCAAGGGGAGAGAACACTAGTTTGGGTAAATTTTGAAAAGTACCCTGCAGTCAGTCCTTCAGAACTGTAAGGAAACCAAGCCATTTAAAGTGTTCTGTATGAGAACATATCAGAGTACATTTCTATCACCCAGGACTTCCACCAGTAAATGCTTAGTTCTTGCTAGTTTTCCACTGGGAAGAAAATAATTAGATTACCATTCTTCACATAATTTCTTGCTTCTTTCCTTCATTAGGAGCAATACCAGTTCCTATATGACATCATTGCCAGCACCTACCCTGCCCAGAATGGACAAGTAAAGAAAAACAATCAAGAAGATAAAATTGAATTTGATAACGAAGTGAACAATGCAAAGCAGGATGCTAATTGTGTCAGTCCACTTGGTGCCCCAGATAAGACCCGTGATGGAAACAAAGAGGCTGAAGGTTCTGAACCCACAGATGGCACCGAGATGCCAGAACATTCTGCCAATGGTCCTGAGAGTCCAGCTTTAACTCAAAATACATAGGAAAAGACATAAATGGGGCAACTCAGAACCTCATATTAGTTGTTTCTATTATCTAGAAGTAGGAGGGGAAAATAGGTATACAGTAGACTACGGAAGTACATTGGACCAATGTTTGTGGAAAGCTTTTCTTTTTCTACTGTGGAAGAAATATTTAAGATAGTTTTGGCAAAACATTTTGTACAGTCTTTTGCTTATTTTAAAATTTTATATCTCATTCAGCAGAAACAACTTCTTTGTAGTCTTTGTGTGTGGATGTGTGTGTGAGAGAGAGAAAAACTGAAAGAGAGAGAGAGAAAGAGAGACTGAGATGGATGGAGAGATTGAGAGAGACAGAGAGAGAGAGAGAGAGACAGAGAGAGAGAGAGAACGCTTTCAAGCAAATCTAAATATTCTTGATAAACATTGACTTTTCTGTTTTTCTAAAGAAAAAACGTTTTATATTGGAAGTGTTAATTTAGCTTGAAGAATCTATTCTTTCAATTATGAATTGTATGTGGACTCTGTGTAAGAATAACAGCATGTACATTTCTAGAATGACCTCAAGATGTCCTTCCTGTTCTACTCATATATATCTTATAGTTTAGAATTTTACGTTCATGAAAGTAGCAAGTGTGTGTATAGCTGCCAAGGCAAAGTTAACTAAATTAACATTTGGAATTCTTATACTCCATGCGTTAGCATTTAGTCCAATATCTTTTTAAGCGTATTTAATCTAATTTAAAATTTTTGTATGAGCCTATCTTGCTATCTTCAATTGGGGCTTACAACTTTGCAACACAGATTATTCTCTGTACAATGTTTGAAATTCATTGTTCAATACTTTTGACCAAAAATTATGTTTATTACAATTGAACTTAAACATTTTAAAAAATAAACAAAGCAATATATATAACTAGCAATTAATCCTTATGCTATTATGTAGCTCTTTGCTGTTATTTAACAGAAGAAAAGAAGTGAATTTTACCACAAAGCAAGTTTCTAATTCATGTTGATTACTTTGTATATTTTTACTTATTAATGAGAAAAAGGGGGAAGTTGAGAACCGTCAACGGTGGGTACCAGAAAGTAAGAAAGCTTGCTCTCACTTCTCTCATTAGTCATTCAAATTGTTGCCTCAGTTTCTCCTACTGAAACTTGATCAGTTGTCATTTACTAGACAATGTAGTTAAAACTTACAGTTCTGTGTTCAGTAGACCCATATGATATGTGTCTATTTTATCTGTGAATTCCTTCAAAATACAAACAGCAAAGTTCTAAATAATCTAAAAATAAAGTTTTTCTTCAACAAACTTCTGAAACATTTTAGTACCATTTTCCAAATGTGGATGTTATGTTTTAAATGTGTATCTTCACTTGAGACTATCCTTTCAAAGATACAAAATACATTCTTAGAAAATAGCGCCACAGTAATTTCTATTAGTTTAAGAAGCAAGCTAGAAATGTTTTGGGGTTTTTTTCTTTCTGCAAATGGGAAGCTGTGGTGAAGGGATAAAACAGGGGCTTTGAAGGCCCATAGCTCTGTGAGAACAGGTATCAACTAGAAAGGGAGGCCCAGTATACTAGAACATGAAGTTATACATGTTGTGGTGCTACGGCTGGGGCCAGAATCCTGCTCACAGCACCAATTGTAAAGCTACTCAACCATGGCCACACCAGTTGTCAGGCTCTTTTACCTGCCAGTAATCCTGCTGACTGGGCTGATTGTTGAGCTAGGGCTGGGTCTGGAGCTCACAGACCCCTCATGCCCATTCAAAGACTGGGTCACAAACCCTTCATATGCCAAGCTGGGTCACCAGACCCCACACACACCAGGCTGGGTCGTCAGACCCCTTCACACAGGTCTGTGAGCTAGGTAACTGGCCAAAAGGTCCTTGGAAGCCATAGGTTGGAGAGCATGGCTGCGCTGGGTGGATGCCCGAGGCAGATGCTCACCCACCTGCTTCACTAAAACTCTCTCTCTCTCTCAATCTAAAGAACACAAGAATAGCAACAAAACTAAAAAGATACATTGGTGCACATGTGCACTAACAATCTAAAGAACACAAGAATAGCAACAAAACTAAAAAGATACATTGGTGCTCATGTGCACTAACTCCACACACGCATGCATGCATGCACGCACAATTTGCTTACAAAGGATGCTGAACCACACCCAACTGGACCTGAGGCGAGGGCTCTGACCAAACTATTCTGTTTTCCCAACATATGTGTATGATTTTTATCTTACAAAAAGAAGTGATATTTGAATTACAGGCCCATGTCTATGGCTATGGGTTACATTTATAGGAAATCTGTCATGAAATGTAAAAGATTTCTTTGCAAAAGCTTCTCACTGCCATTATTAATTCCAAGACCTAGTCAGAAAAGTTAAGCAAATAGTTCCAACTTAAAAAAAGACTGGTGCCTTTAGGAATAAGGTTCTGAATCAAATTGCACATTTACTGGGAAGAAAAAGACTGTTATGTTTCTTTTAAAGTTTGTTTATTTTATTCCTGATACCAGAATTCATTGGAAACAAAAGATACATTTAGTAATTTTAAAATTCAGTCCCAAACCATTAATTTTGTATTTAAGTGACAAAGATTTGCAGAAAACGATGTATGTTTTCATATTTCCTTGCAATGGTAAACTGTCTAAAGTGATTAGATGCATATCTTTGCAATGATAATTTTTAAATGTAAGTTTCCACTCACAATTCTGTACAACTACAGTGAAATTTTCATATCAACTTTTGCTTTTATCCCCCCCAGATCTGAATATAAAGTTTATTAGTTCTTACAACTATCAGGAATGATCTTAATTTTTAATTTATAGCAGAGATTTGTTGTAAAATGTTCTCATAGCACTGTATCAGGTCTAAACAAATGGGCGGTAATTGCCTCTAGCTAATTGCAACATGTTTCTTGATGTGAAGACCTTCAAATGCACAACTTCAAAGGAAATGAATATCTATTAAAACTAGTAGAAAGTCTGTGCTTTCATTCTCTTATACAAATTTTATATCTGGAGTGATCTGAAGTTTCTTCAGAAAGACACATTCAAAATTGGTCTTTTTCATTTCCTGTTTTAGGTGAAAAAATTATTCTGCTAAAGTTTCATTTTTTTGTAGTCATTCTTTTGTAAACCTCATTGTATTCTTATCTTGGTTCAAAAGTGATTACTAACTTTGGATTAGTATTTGTAGGAAAATTAAGAGTTTTCAATTATTTACAACAAATGAATTCTTGCTTTTGCTAAGATCCACCAAAGTCAAACTCTTCTTCACTCAAATTACCCATGTTACTTTCTTCGTGATGACATGGAGTTTCGTTGTAAGATAAAATTCAAGGCACTGAGTTAAATTTTAATTTCAAATGAACAAGGAATAAGTTTTACTGCAAGTATATCCCGTGCAATATTTGAGATATATGAAAATTATTCCTTGCTCATCTGAAGTTAAAACTTAACTGTGCATTGTATATTGTTGTTGCAAAATCTTGCAACTCTAACCTGAGGGAATCCATCAAGTCTATCTCACTTAAAAGGACATTTAAGGGATTAGCTTTGATGTTTAGCTTTAGCCAAAACTTCAGTATTTTCATCTATCACCTGAGAATGTAATTCCTCTTTTAGCTAAGATCCTCAGATGAAAAGGTTCAACGAAACTATTAAGACTAATGTGCAAATAAGAATTTTAAAAAATCAGTACTGACGCCATCAAAGGATATCCTTTATCATCACTTATAAATTAAAAAAAAAATAGCTATTACTGTTACTAAATAACTAACATTTATTGAGGCACAATACATGCCAGGTATGTTTTTACTTGTTTTACCAGCATTTGTTTCTCAAGACAAATTCTGTGCCACACATATTCTTACTATCTCCATTTTATAGATGAGGACTGAGGCTTAGAAAAATTCTTTCCTAAGACATCTAGTAGTAAGTGTCAGAGGCAGGATTTGACCCCACTCTTATGACACCATAAGCTGTGCTCATAACCTTCTACTCTTCTGCCTTCTAAGGATCAACTTTGTTCCTGTGCTTTGAAAAATTAGTGGAGAAAACAAATTTATTTTCTATGTATCTTTTCTTTATTTTATGATTAAAGCAAAAAATAAAACCATGTATATTGTATGCTCTCAACAATGCTACACAACATAGTAAGCTTAGCTGAACTCACAACATTGAAGATATTTTACAAAAATAAACACACACTTAAACATCCATGGGAAAGGATTGTTTTCATAATATGTATAAACAGAGATCATCTCATCACTAAAGTGAGTGCCAGGAAATAAAACAATACAACAAAACACAAATGTCATTGTTCCCTTGTCTCACAATTTGGTAATTAGAACAAGTTCTTACTGTTTGGATCATATTTCAGTGTGTTTGTCAGGGGACCCATTAATCAGTATTTAAAACAAGTTAACAGGGCAACATAAAATGCAAACCCCTTTTGTCTAGAGTGGCACAGTGAGTCCAGTGGAGCTTTATTCTTCTGACCTAGCTGTCCTCAGACTTAGAATGCCAGGGAACTAGAAATGGACTTTCAATGTAAAATAACCCGTTTCACTCTAGAAAAAACAGTTTTCTCTAAATTCATATGCACCCTTTTAGTATAGTAAAAGTGGGATCTCTGGTAAACTTATATTTAATTTTCCAGAAGAGTGGAACTTGTTGGATTCAATAATAGCTCTCATATCAGATCCAGAGAATCTGGTGTCCTGTCAAAGAATATAAATAATGTCTTGAATATTTATGGATCGTGTAAACTTAAATGGTTTTTCCTGCACACTCTGTGAAGTGGGAAGAGGACGTGGCATTAGAAAGGAAAGTGATCTGTCCACTGTTAACACGTGGGATGAAAGTTATAGAACCTGGTCACCCACAGAACCTGTCCTTCACTGGTCAACAAAAGCTTAATGTAGGGGTTTTCTCACACAGTACTTAGGTCACTGCCTGCTGAGAATTTTTATGGGTAATCAATAATTCAAATTTTTCATTATTTCAGACTATGCTGGCCTTAATGAATTACATTTCACGGCTTTTGCTATATGTTATAAAACAGGAGAGAAGGGGTTATTATATTAATAAGAAACTGACATGTAAGAAATCTTTTTTATAAAGGAGCTTCCATTTATATTTAGTTATTTGTTTTTATTACATTGACAACTTAAGCTAAAGACAGGAATGGAAAACAAAGAACATGCTGAAGATTTAAATCTAATAGTTT